ATCTAAGGTCTCAGAATGACATGCAGGTCGAAAATAAAGAATTTGGGAATCATGGGCATCCATCAGTGATGGATGAGGCTATGAAGGCAAATGAGGTTGTCTACGGAAACTGCTGATCACAAAGAGGAAGAAGACAAATCAAATGCCCAGAGAACAGAAATATTCAGTGGATGGTAACACAATTATTTATGTGGGTTAAATTGTATTGGCTTAGGTTCAAGGTTTTTGACTTACAAATGCCATACTCTACCCAACTGGAGAGCAGGCTGTTTTACTCCTTAGTTCCTGCACTTCCCAGCTTTCCAAAGACGTTTTAGTGCCTTTCCTCTACTCTATGAAACAGCATCTGGAATGCGCAATCTTACGTTCTTTGTTGCTTGTGAAACCTTTTCTCAGCTACTTTCTATACTGGGGCCGTAACACTTTATAAATTACAAGGTCCCTGAGTCCTTCTGATGGTGCATCTCTCTAACTATGTATGTTTATTCTTTCCCTGTCTGTTTCTACAAGAAACTCAAGGCAGCCAAATAGGTCAAAAATGAGGCTCAATGTTTTGAAGGCAGAAACACATCTGATCAATTTATCATTTCTGTCTGTAAGATCTTAAACTCCAAAACAGATTAATTTACAACTTATTTATTATATAAAATAGCCTCTAAACAAAATTTAGCTGATTTTGTTTATATGTATCGAGCAACAAGGAAAATGAAACACACATATACAGAGATGATATAAGTAGTGAAGACACGAAGCTGTACTCATTCACATAATATGAATTCAAATGGTTTCCAATGTGAAATTTAATTATATTCAATTAAGCTAAAATAACCAAGTATGTAAAACACAGTGTATGCAGTTAAAGCAATGCAAAACTCCTTAAAATCAGCTGCTCCATATAAAGGAATTTCCCCTGGACACACAAGAAAAAGGCGCTGTCTCTCCACACCCCTCACATTGGAGTTTCTGAAAGAGATTTAGAAGCTTCAAATAAAACTTCAATTAAAAATTTAATGCCAGAATATTTAATGTCTACAGGTCTCATCAGGTGAAAATAAGTATACAACTTCTGAGTTAGATGCTTATTTTTTAAAGACTGGGACATATTTAAAAATTATTTTATATATGTAAAAACACTCCCTGGAATTCTGTAATTATACCTACCACAATAAAATTATTTGCTGAAGTTTATTAACATAAAACTCTGGTTTTCCTTTCTCAAAGGTTCAAAGAATTCGGTTTGTGGCAAATTTGGTTTGCACACTTAAATTGCCAACTTATTTGCAACATATTTCTTAACTTTCTAAGAGCCTTCAAAATTAGCTCCTCTAGAATATAAACAGTGAATAAACAGAAGAAAAAGTGCTAACCTAAATAGAAAGAAGCATGCAAAATAAAATACAATGAAGCCCTATTTTAACCTATCCAATTAAACATTGTAATTTAAAAGATGGCAGAAATGTGATGAGATCAGCTTCCAAAAAGCAATCTGGCAATATTTACCAAGTGTCTTTGGAGCTGTGAATCTACTCCCCTGGAGCCTGTTGTGAGTAAATAATAAGAGATGTGATCAAAGATGATCTTCACTTCTCAGTAACAAAAAAAAAAAATTAAAAATAAACCTAAGGATACTAGTATGGGAGACTTTAAAAATACTATGGTATATCCACATTGAAAAAGGTTATAAAGCCATAAAACACATTTTATAAAAACATTAAATAAAAAAGGAAAAGAACTCACAATAGAATATTCAGTAGGAAAAATACCTCACATTAATTCAGAAAAATGTATTTTTTCTCAAATTTCTTTTCACCGTTTCATATTTTTATAACAAATAGATATGCATATATAGGATATATAAATTCACGGTTACTATAAATATTAAAATAGTAGTGTCTTCCTTTGGTTGGTGCATTATAGATGATTTTAATTTTTATTATTGTTTTCAACTTCCCAATATTTTTTCTTTTTAAAAATAATGGTTGGGTCTCACTTTTATAAGTTGAAAAAAAAATGTATGACTAGAAAAAGGCATCTCCAGGACTTGAGAAAAAGCTAAATGGTATGGGCAATACAAATGAAAATGCACGCACATGGCAGGACGCTCCCTGCTGGCACACACTGTCTGGATTCGAACGGCACCAAGTCTACCAAAGCTTTACAATGCGGCTTACTTTTAAGACGGAACCTTGTGGAGCAAGGTGATTTGGATGCCCTGATCTTATGAAGTACCACTCAGTGTGGTTTCATAAAGGCCAAAACAACATACACTAGTCAACCAGCTTCATGTCCTATTTTCACTCCTTTGGTATAAAGTTGACCCTTGAACAACATGGGTTTGAACTACATGGGTCCACTTATACACACACACATCTTCTTCTGCCTCGGTCAAACCGACACTGCAAGACCAACCCCTTCTCTTGCTCTTCCTCAGCCTACTCCACATGAAGATGAAGAGGATGAAGACCTTTATAATGATTATTCACTTCTACTTTATGAATAGTTAATACATTTTCTCTTCCTAATAATTGTCTTAATAACATTCTTTTTTCTCCAGCTTACAATATTACAAGATACAGTATGCAACAGATACACAAAATACATGTTGATGCACTGTTTATGTTATTCACAAAGCTTCCAGCTAACAGTAGGCTACTAGTAGCTAAGTCTTGAGGTAGTCAACAGTTATACTTAGATTTTCAACTGCATAGGGGGTTTGGCACCCCAACCTCTGAGTTGTTTAAGGGTCAATTGTATCATCATGAGACCCATTTTATTCTTGAAGATGCGTGCTGCTAGATCAGAAAGGATTCTGGATTTAGAATAAGAAAATGTAATTTTGAGTCCTGTCTTGCTGTGCTACTTACAGGTCAAGTCCTTGACCTCTCTGAGTATCTTCCCCTGTGAAGATTATGGAGCTGATAATACTATCCCTGATTTCTTCCCAGGATTATCTACACCAAATACAACTGTATGTATAAAATCATTCTAGCTTCAAATGTCATTGATCATTAAATTTTAATAACCCTCTAAAAACATTTATTTGTCTCCTGTTCCTACATTAACACTAATTTAATCTCTACATTCCAAGGTGATAAACAGGTGAAGGGAATGATGCTTCTCCTGAGAGAAGTACCAATAAGAAAGCAGAGGGAAATATACTCAGAAGAAACACTTGGCCAACCCCCGGCTTAAACCAGAGGAGTCTGAGAAGAGGTCCACGCCCAGTGACATGAGGATGCCCAGCGACATGAGGTCCCCCTACTAGAGACCCTCATCTTCAAGTGCAGAAACAGAGAGAGAATGGATAAGCCAACCACTGTGACCTGTGCCCTGTGATTTTTCTGGGATTGATGCCTCTAGAATTATTTGTCATTTGGAGGGAAACTATAATAAACAGTGGCAGTCAGCAGGCCTTTCCCTTTGCTACCAGGAATATATTTTACTTGGTTGGAATCATGAAATGAATAAATTCCCAAACAGATTCACAAATTAATAAAATCAATGCAAACTTTATCATCTAAATCTAGTTTACTGTCTATTTATTTTAAACACAACTGAATTTCAAAATATTCAAGATGGTCGATTAAAAATAATCCAAATTCTGAGTGGAAAAGAGCCTACCATTTACACTGCTACATCTCCAGATCCTTTGTATTATCTTGGTCTCAAAATGATCTGGACAAAGACTAGGAAGGATATGAAAAAAATCTTTTTTAATATTAATTTAATTCTACTTCTTAATGATATAAAGTGAAGCAACAGATAGTTCCTACTTAGTACTGCAAAAAAACTAGAGAAAACCAAATTTGTTGCTTCTTTTACATGCAATTTCTAATAATTTCATATATTTGTAAATGATAAAATTTCTCCAATAAATATATTCATGTAATTATATAAAAACAAAGTGGCCACCTTCTACAAATAGCCACTTTTTACTGCAAGATAGCACCTTGCAATTGTTAACACAAAAGTTTCTGGAAATAAACTAGACGTTTGACCCCAAAGGCTTAAGTCACAACATTTCTCATCAGAATGATTAATCTTTACGAAAAGGCAGGAAAACAAGACAGGGCCGCCCACTTTGACATTTTCATTCTTTGAAAAAAAAATCCCAATGTAGTTCATGAACTGGAGCCACCATTTATAAAAAGTATGTAATCCAGAATACATGTTGATTATAAGATTAACCAGATCATTATCGTTCTTACTCTTCGCACTAAGAAAAATGTACTGACATTAAAAAGTGGTACTAGCACAGTTTTACTGAGAAATCTGATAAACCTTTGCCCAGGAACCAACCAACCTTAATAACAAGGTTACTTCATTTTTTCCTTTTCTTCTTAGTTGAAAAAAATATAAACAACAAAGTATAACATTAAAAAGAAAACTCACTCCATTAATTTCTACAAGACTCCTTTTTGCCCAACCTTTCCGCATGCAGTGATTGGAGAGTGGGGAGGATGTATTTTTCACATAGGATGCTCTGCTGCCTAAGCCGGTGTGTGTGTGCACGTGTACATGCGCACGGCAGCAAAGCAAAAGCATCCTTGAGGTCATATAGAAACGGAGAGAGGAAGGAGAGGTGTGAATAGCAGGAAGAGGTGTTTCTGCAGGCTCAGGGAGTTTGCTGCTGGCTATAAAAGCATTTACCTAAAAGGAGTCAAATATGAGATAATTCTGAAATATCTGGGTTTGCTGCCTTTCTCTCCTTATTTTCTTCCCTCACTTTTGAACAGCTCAGATGTGGAGTAAACCAGCTCTAACCTTGAGGAAGCTTTGCTCCAGAGAAAAGAGAAGAGTATTAACAATTCAAGGTGAACCAAGGGAAGGAAGGGAATCATCCAAAGATGGAGCAGGGTGAAGGTGGGGAAGGAGTGTGGGTGTGAAGGGGGCATGCAGAGGGGATGGGCTCTGATAGCAGAAGAACACAGGCTAGGAAACAGCTTGGAAACTGAGCTGGCAAAACCACTGACTTGTGCATTTTACATGAACTCACTTACCTCTGTTATTTTTTCTATTCCCTGGAAGTTGTGCTTTTCAAAATGTTCTGCAATATTTAGGAAGGTGTGACGTTCTAGATAGCAGCAATTACTTAGGACTATCAAAAGGCGCTGTTCCTAAAAGCAAAACAAATTTTTAGAAATTCACATTTATGGTGACAGAATAACTGATTAACACTTGTCAGGTTTAATCACAGTCTCTGCTGTTTGACATCAATACTCAATGCTTTGCTTTTCTTGACTGCTTCTTTCCCAATATTATAACATAAACACAATAAAATCCTGCAATTCTACTATTTGTTTATAATTACATAATACACCAAAGAATCAAATATTTATTTTAAAACTAGGCAGCTTGTATTAAAAAACAGATTGATAAAATCCCATTAACTAGGATCAGGTGGGAATTGGGATCAGTGTTTCTTACGAAAAGGATTCTACTTTACTGCTTACTTAATACTTTGTGTACAAGAAAAGGCTACAGGAATAAATATTTTTAATAACTAATTACATTTAAAATGTAGAAACTGTTATAAAAAAGTTTATAAATTTTGTATAACCTGGAAGAGAATTACATAGCCATACATCTGTATGATGGGCTCCTTCAAATATCTAAGGCCATTAGGAATTGTGTTTGCAGAAGAAAACAAGGAATCATCTCCCTCTAATGGGGAGAGAGGGTCACTGAGAGAGGACTCCGCCTTAGGAAGTAGTCATTGTAGACAAGAGGAAGAGGTACAAACCAGTCACTTCTACATTCTCCAGGGTTCTGTCCACCTAAAGTAATTTCTTGCAAAAATTACCACACGCAAATGCTGATAAACACAGTATCCTTTTACAGTTCAGAAGAACTACTTGGTAAATAAAATTCCAGGAATGGCCCTATGTTGCTGATGCGGTTCACCGAGGCACCTGACCTGTGCTCCCGAGGGTGGGTGGGCCTTCTCTGGAACAACTTTGACTAATCTAGGTCCTTGACTTAGATCCTTCAACTAAACCTACAGCAGAAACCACTTTCCATCACATACTTTGCATGCTCTCTCTGTGTATAATCAGAATAACTTACAGTAATTTGATATAGTAAATGTGGAAAGAGGTTCCTATTTTTTGAGATATGTGGAAAAATGGTAACTATAGTCCTTGAATTTACTTGCCAATCATCTTTTACATTTCCCAATAATTTCATTTAGCTCAATAGTTTCCAAAAACCTTCTAGATTCCTTTATTCTAATGTTCCTGTCTTTATTTCTGGCAAAGTGTAGCCTATTCACTACCTGTTTTTGGTCATCAACAAATATAAGTAAAAGGCCGAGGAATTATTAAAAGACGTTCAAACAAGTGAATGGCCTTGAATTACTCTATGGATAGGAAATGGAGCATAAGACAAGGTAAACAGGGTTGTATTATGTATAACACTTCTCCACGTTTTGTGAATAAACATCAAGAAGGAAAACATGAATAGTCACTGGAAACTCGCCCAGGTGAGGTGGGAACGAGGAGGCAGCATTCCCCTCTGGTCCCCAGGCCTGGAGTTACCATTACACAGTCCCCAAAAGGACAAAGAGTAAGTAAATATGACATTTCATCGGCTACTCCCAACATGCTGTTTGCCTCAAAAACCTCAGCTGGTTGTTCAGTTTCAAAGATCAATCCTTAATGACTTTTTCCTTCCAGAGTCAAGCCTCCTTAGCTAGCGACCTGAGCCTGCCACACCTTCTCTGCCCTGTTAATTCTCTTTGTTTTTCCCATTGTAATCTACATGGCTCTTAAAAAACAGAAAAGCTATTTGAGTTATTTAAAATCTTACTCCTGTAAGTACATTTGTTGCTCAAATCTAATCATTAAGATGCAATAAAAGTGGAAAGAAAAACTGAACAACACAGATTCTCAACCGTGGATGACTAATCAAAAGCTTATTAACAACTAAGATAAAGAGGTACATTTGAAAACAACAACTCCAGCTATCAAATGCAGCATGTGAAGGTGACAGAAGACGGTCTTCTGCTATATCAGTGATTCCTCACAGCATCTCTGTGATGCAGGCGTCACCATCAGTTTTGTTCAGAACACAGGGCCTGCGCCTGGTCAGTGATATGCCCGAGGTTACACAGGATGCCAACCATTGTCTTCCAACTCTGAATCTAGGTGTTTTTCTTATCATAGCTGCTTCCCTTCTGGATAACAGAACAAGACCCTAAGAAGATCTCACCAAATCTCATGAAATAGCTTCCAATGGCGTATACAGAGGAATTTGGTCACAAAAGGACACTGGAGAGTAGCAGGAGAGAGGCCCTGCAACCTGCAGAGGCACATGTGAGGTGCCTGGGGGGACAGGTGAGAATAGGCTCAATGTGACTTAGCAGACAGCTGCAGCCTCATGGGTCACAGGGCATCCAGGGCTGACTCCTGTGCTCCACCCACTGGAAGAGGCACAGGAGCAGGGGCATGCCACACCAGCAGGGAGAGCCTGAGGATTCAGGGTGCCAGCAAGGGGAAGACTCTTGCTATCTCCATTCGGGAGGCCCTCTCCTGCAGCCCTGTCTTCCCAGGACTCCCCCAGCCCTCTGCATTTCCATCCTCCTCAAGCCCCTCAGCCGCTGAGGCTGCAAAGCTTTCCTTTGTTTAAATGTGATTTTCCATCCCTCTCAGGAGTGCTGCTCTATCTGGATTTCCTTCTACACCTCTCATTAACCCTTTTCAGGGTACACTGAGGCTCTCTGCACCTGGTGAGCCCATAAATAATGAAACCCTCAACCTTATTTTTATATATTTGGCCCTTCTCTCATCCAACAAGTATAGGGTTCCCCAGCTCCCCTCAATTTCTCTCCATGCCCTGTCAGGGGAGCACAGAGTGCCTTGATGGCTCTGACTGGGCCAGTTGCCCATTTTTCCCTGCAGGCTTGCACCCAAGCAGGGGCCCTGACCTCCCAGGCACTGATGAAGCTCTTTAGGCTGTAGTTTGAAAACACTGAGAGATCAACCATGTTGCTAAATAGCAGAAATCAGCCCCACCCTGAACCAAATGCTTTAAACCCTCCTATAAACTCCATGCTCAAGCCCCCTCATTGCCGACATACCTAGGCAGGTCATCCTCCCCTGCTGTTCCTGGCGAGGACTCAGTGAAGCCCCCTCTGTGCTTTGTTCCCTAATGCTTTGCACTGATCACCCTGAATTTCATGCTTGTTTCTTTGGAACGCCAACTGACCCCATCTCGGGATGGTTTGGGACAGTCCCTGGCAGGAACTCCACTGCCACCACTCTTGGGGAGATTCTGCCTGCAAGTCTGGCTGAACAGAAGAAGGAGCATTTCTCTTACTCCCAGGCCTTATATTGCTTAAGTACTGCTGATTCACAAATCTGTAGCTAGATTTCTCTCCTGGGATCCAAACAAGGATATTCAATTACCCACTTGGTATCTACCTGTATGTCACAAAGCTGGTCCCATCTGAATTTTTTTTTTTTTTTTTTTTGAGAGTGAGTCTTGCTCTATTGCCAGGCTGGAGTGCAATGGTGTGACCACCACTTACTGCAACCTCTGCCCACTGGGTTCAAGTGGTTCTCCTGCCTCAGCCTCCTGAGTAGGAGCCTCCTGAGTAGGAACCTGTAATCAGCCTCGATTACAGGCCAGCGCCACCACACCTGGCTAATTTTTTGTATTTTTAGTAAAGATGGGGTTTCACCATATTGGCCAGGCTGGTCTTGAATTCCTGACCTCATGATCTACCCGCCTTGGCCTCCCAAAGTGCTGGGATTACAGGTGTGAGCCACTGTGCCCGTCCCTCAAGCTGAATTTTTAATCTTTCTCTCGAACCTGTATTTTCCCTGATTTCTCTATCTCAGTGAATGGTATCATTCTCCACCTAGTCATCTAAAAAATTGAATCTAGAATAAGTTTTGAGATTACTTTGATCAAAGTATATTTTTCTAATACACCAAACCCCTTATTTAGGTATTCATACTTATAATGACCAGGGAAATGACATATGGTAGAAAATTTGGGTCAAACAGTTTTTCCTTGAGACAGCCAGCCATGCATGTGTGCGTGCGCGCACGGGCACACACACCCCCACATGCATACACCCATACACCCTTCAAACTCATGACAATTATTATTTATAAGTATTTATTTATAATACTTATAATTATTCATTTATAAAATTATTATTTATAATAACCAGTGAGGGTTATTTATAATAATTATTATTTTTTGAGATGGAGTCTCACTCTGTCACCCAGGCTTGAGTATAGTGGTGCCATCTTGGCTCACTGAAAACCTCCACCTCTTGGGCTGAAGTGATTCTCCTGCCTTAGCCTACCAAATAGCTGGGATTACAGGCACCCGACACCAAACCCAGCTAATTTTTGTATTTTTAGTAGAGATGGGGTTTCACCATATTGGCCAGGCTGGTCTCAAACTCCTAACCTCAAGTGATCCACCCGCCTTGGCCTCCCAAAGTGCTGGGATTACAGGCATGAGCCACTGCCCCTAGCCAGAAAGGGTTATTTCATTTATGATAGCTGGAGTTTGAATGTCAATAGACGAATTTATACATGTCATAATATAAGTTTGTGAATCTCCTCAATCTCCTTAAATACATGTACACATTTTAAAAAGTATGTGTGTATACATACATACCTATATATGCAGTATATGTATGTATACATCTGTTTGTGTATAAGTGTGTGTGTGTGTGTGTATGTGTGTGTGTGTGTATTTCAGGTTGTGTTCAAATAAAATGCTATTAGGCAACTTATAGAAATAAAACAGAGAAAAGCAGAACTTCTCCCATTGAAGAGGCATGAGCTGTGGGGGGGAATGGGTGCCCTTGTCCTCTGCCTCCTCCCCCACACATCACAGCAACTCTCAAGCACCAGGGAACTACAAGGGCACCTATTTAACATTCAGAAAGCACAAAGATGCAGATAGTATATGGAATGACTGAAATCACAACTCCAGCTAAAAATGTTAAGTGCAAAATTCAGATACATTATACTTTCCAGAAAATTTCATATAATATAGCTCCAAAGCACAGCACAGTGTCCTATACCACATGCTACAGCCATGATGCAGGAACAAAGTAATTCGATTTTTGAAATCGCTGTTACACGGTTTTAAAATGGTTTACTTTCTAGCTATTGTCTGACTTACAGAGGTCAAGCTGAAGTCTTCATGGATACTTCCAAACAAATCAGGGGAAGAAACGTCAACAGAGAGACTGAACACGGAAGCAAGTACAGTTAGAAATAAAGCACTCAAATTAAAAAATGCAATGAACTATATGCAAATTTAAAAATGCAATGAATTGTATGTAAAATGTTTGGTGAAAGTCACAAAACTTTAAGTGTTTTAGACTTGACAGCTAAAAGAAGGTATTATGGATACATGAAATTTAATCCGCAATATTAAGGATCTAACATCATAAATTCCTGGTGAAATAATGAGCTAAAAATATAAAACCAAATCAAAGTAAACCTAAAAGAATTAAAACCTTATTGGGTCCCTAGGGAGGTGATAAGTTTTATGTACTGAAAAGCAAAAGCCAAAACCAGTAAACAGACAAACACGGATAAATTTCCAAATTGTCAACTGAAGATATAAGAGGCATTTATTTCAGTATTATCTGTGTCAGAGCATAACTCTTAGGTACACAGAAGTTACACATGCCAAGTATAATTCAGAAAGAACAGATTTCTTAAAAAAAACAGCACTTTACAATGGTGTCCTATAGAACAGCGTTATAAAATAACTACCACATGGATTTGTAAACATCAAAAGTTAAGATGTGTCCACTGGAGCTCCAATAACTAAGCTTGACCCAGACATAATTCTACCAACATGCTTAGTCTCTAACGGGAGTAACTGTGCCTCCCCCTAATGCCAGAATCGTAAAAATAATCAACTAGCAGTTATACATTTACATTTAATACTTTATTATTTATAAAACCTGTTCTTTGGATAATTAATAAGCTAATTATGTCTTCAATTTGCTCGATATGTCTCTAATAAGGCAAAGATGAGTTAAAAGCTAAATATGGAAATAATATAGGTCAAGTATAAAAAACAACTATTACTTTAATATGAACAATCTTTCTTTCTTACTAGAAGTCTTAGGATACAAGATCAAGTATAAAACTTGAGTTTGTATTTTTAATTCTCCTAAATGCATTAATGAGATTAATGTGATTTTCACTTACTGTGTAGTATCTATGTCTGCATCAGGTTTGGTGCTCAACTGTTCCAGACAGTATATAAAAACCTGAGTGAAAAAGTAAGTTTCAGAATTCTCACAGGAATGAACTCCTAGATAACTTTACATAAAGTAGAATTATATATCCCATAAGTGGTGTGGTGTTGTGTGCATATATGAATATGTGTATATATTATATATGCTCCATTAATGACAGAAATATATATCCCATCCATATCTATCACATAAGTAATAGAAAATTAGAAGTGACTATGTTTTGATCAATTATTAAGTTTGTAAAGATATTTTAGGAAAAAGACATTTTCTCATTCACTTATCCACATTCTCAACTTTATGTGCCTGCAAAGCACTGGTCCCAATAAAAATACTTTACACAGATATAATGTGAACAACTAATTATCATTTCATTTACACTGTGCTCTAGCAGAATATATATAAAGTACCAAGAAAACATAAAAGAGGGGAGCATAACATAAATGAAACATTTGAGTATTGTTAAAACAAGTCCAAATTAATCTTACATTAAACTTTGTTACCCTACTTACCCTCAACTATTATGTACACAAACAAGATGAAAAAAAAATACATAATTAGTGTATGTCATCGGCAGATTATAAATAGGAGAGGGGTTGACTGATACTTAGTATCATTTGAGGCTTTGGGCATTACTGCTTTCAATTATTACCTGCATGATATTGATGCTTAGTTGGCAAACCTCCTCCTGTGTTTTAGGTTGTTGAAAGACCTGTAAGGAAGAATTTTGATTAAAATTTTTGGACTTTGCTAAGAAAACAAGGCTTTTTGTGTATGAAGTTAGATATAAACAGTTAAGCCTGGCAAAAATGGTGAAACTCTGTCTCTACTAAAAATATAAAAAACTAGCTGGGCGTGGAGGCTCACACCTGTAATACCAGATACATGGGAGGCTGAGGTGGAGAATTGCTTAAACCTGGAAGGTGGAGGTTGCAGTGAGTCAAGATCATGCCACTGCACTCCAGCCTGGGCGACAGACCGAGACTCCATCTCAAAGAAAACAGAACAAAACAAAACAACAGTTAAAATGTGGAACACTGCTTCAGGAGTGGTGTCCTTACTCTTAAAAGGAACACAAGAGAAGACTTGGCCCAATGGTGGTTTTCCTCACTGTGGTGACTCGGGCTTGAGAAGACAACGCCATGCTGGGCTGATGGTCAAGATCCAGCCTCATCATTCACTGTCCAAAAAGTGCTATCACTGTGACCGCTCTACCTACAACACTCACACTCACATTTTATCTTTCATCAGCCTGTCTTGGAGTCAGAAATCAGCATATCTACATAAACTAAATGGAACAGGCAAGCAAAGAGAGAGAGAAAGCCTTGCAATGCAGAGCCAAAAATGTACAACTCTGATTCCCGTGGGCTCCCTGGGAAACTGTGGCGTCAAAGTGGAACTGGAATACTTACGCTGGCCTCTCCTGGCTTGCACTCCAGAACACCCTTCAGTGACTGTAGAGAGCGCACGATGCACTGTTCAAACTGACATGGCTGAAGGGAAAACAGCATATCATAAAATTCAAAAGCAAGCTCTGGCTACTAAGACATATTTCACAGAAGTGAATATGGCCCCAACCTCCAAATTTTCCAGATTAATGGAAAGGAACAGAAACACAATCTGAAAAGTAATCTCCTAGTCGTTGAGTTTTAGGTTTGGCATGTTTTGTACTTCATATTTTAGAATGAATCAATCTTGAGACTCTAAAGTATATATAATTCAACTAAAACTCAAATAGAACTAAAAATTTTCTTCAAAATTCCACTCTTCTAAGAGGCTGATACACAACGAGGAACAGATATAATGAGTTTACATTTTGAATGCTATTTCTCAGGTATATTCTGGGATGAGCTCAGTCTCCTGGATCTTCCACATCTCTGGAACTGTTAAGCAAAATTCAATGTTAATAATAATGATCTAGAGATGTACAGGATCTTTATATCAGAGAGACTATAAATATTCATTTTCTATCTACATCAAGTCAGAAAATGAAACTTGAAAATATGTCCAACCAATGACATTTCAAGATAAGCTAGAACAAATCTTAACATCTTAGCTCCCTAAGGGTATTTAAGTTTTGACTTTGTGCCAGGACCTACTCTAGGTAAGAAAGATAAAGGAATAAGTAAGACAGCCTTCTCATTATGTGTATATTTCAGGCAGGAGACATTACCAGAAAAGTCACAGTTGACAAAATGATTTAAAAAAGGTATAGAAATAAAATAATTGATATAATAAGCATCAAGAATAAAAGAAGTAGAACTCAGAATATCATGATGGGGGATCTGCTCTAAATAGGACAGTCACAGAAGGCCCCCAAGACGGCAAGAACATTGATGTTGAGAAGGGAAGGGCAAGGGGGATTAGCCCTTTGAAGGAACAGGGAAGTAGAGGAACAAGTTCTCAGAAGACAGTGCACACAGGCCGCAGAGTGGGCAAGAACCCACTGGGAAAGCAGACCATAGGAAAAGTAGCATGTCACAACCGCCAAATGTGAGCACGGGTCTCGAGAGATGGGGCAGGGGGCAGGGCTTCATCAGGGCAGTGAGCCACGGAAGGCTCAAGGGTCAGCTAACCAGCTCTATGCAAACACGGGGAGTGAGAACCTCTCTTCAACACATGCATCGATTTTTAAAAGAGTTTGGGAAGAAAACTGAAGAGAAGAAAGGAAGTGACATCTAAATGCATCTTATAAAAAGAAAGGTTTATTTTCTTACAGAAAGGAACCCAGACTTAGTGAAAGCTAAAACAGTGCCTCAGCTTTAGTATCATGCCATTACAGCACTTTGAAACCACCAGAGGGCATTATAAAAAACAATTAAAAGTGAAAGTACAAAAACAATAATAAAATAAGAAATACAATATGAAATACCAACTGCACAGAAAGCATTGAAAGAGGCAAAATGTTTGTTAGGTTACTAACTTTACTCATCTAACCTACCCACCTCAGAAGGTATGTAAATTTAAGATGTTACAATAATTATTACTATAATATTGACAATCAAATCTGAAATTCAACTGTGGGCAATTAAATGTTGATGTCTGGCCGGGTGCAGTGGCTCACGCCTGTAATCCCAGCACTCTGGGAGGCCGAGGCAAGTACATTGCTTGAGGTCAGGAGTTTGAGATCAGCCTGGCTAACATGATGAAACCCCAACTCTACTAAAAATACAAAAAAATTAGCTGGGTGTGCTGGCGCGCATCTGTAGTCCCAGCTACGCAGGAGGCTGAGGCAGAAGAATCACTTGAACCAGGGAGGCGGACGTTGCAGTGAGCCAAGATTGCACACTGCACTCCAGCCTGGGCAACAGAGCAAGACTCTTGCTCAAATAAAATAAAAATAATAAATAAATAAATATATAAATGTATGTTGATGCTTATGTGTGGTTATTTAGATTTCTTCTATTAAATCTGAACTCAACTTTCTTATTAATTTTATTTTTATACTCATACTAATATAGTAAGTGGATACAGAATACTAGAAAGTTCAATGAGTGCTTTCAGTTGAACTGGGAGTAGGTGATAGTCTAAATGTTCACTATTTCTTTTTTCTCAAAAGAAAGAAATAGGCCTATCTCTTTGTATTGTCAGTGAGTCATCCAATTTAGCTGATTGTCAAGTTATCACAAAGCATTCCACTTCTTCTGAAAGAAGAAAATTCTAAGAATCTCAGAATTATCCAAATTGAGAAAAGGCAGAAATCATTTTCAACATGAGAAGAAAACAGGATGCTTTCAAGTGAGCTGTTTCAGAGCCCTGAAGCGAAGCTCTAATCAGAGAAAATGCCTCAGCTGAGGGACAGTCACCGTAAGGCAGTGCTTGAACCTGACATCCTTAATGGGATAAGCAGCATATCCTATCCCAGTCACAAGGGAAGAAAAAAATTTTCTTGTCTCAAACAAATGGGATTGGTACTAAGGAAATGTTAAGAAAATACACATTTTCTTATACTGGTATGTGATAAGAGGTTAGGGTTATACAATTTAAATCATTGTTCAAAGTCTAAGAATTTTATAAACATACTGTGTTAAAATAGTAATACTCCAAGCTGGAATCTAGACTTGTGCTCTAAGCATCGGTTCATCTTTTCTCTTAAGAGGTCCATGCGGAAGGGCTAAAAAACTGACTCAGTGTTATCAGGTCTATCGTGGTAGGACATTTCTTCAAGGACATCTGGCTAGACAATGTCTTGGTTGACTCCAGACGTGCTATTTCCTAGGGCTCATTCATTTGCAAAGCGCACTGGGGGTCAGTTCTTTCATCCCTGCAGATGGTTATGTGGCTTGTGTATGAGATCAAACATGAAATTAGTTATTTTATGGTTGCAGTTGCACTGGTTATAGTTAAACTTTAAAAATAAACTACAAAGAAGCTTCTGCAGCAACTATTTCAGAGCATTTTCACAGAGGCTGATGTACCACAATCAGAAGAATGGCTACTCCTGAGGTCTGGAGGTTTCCAGGAAAGCACACACCAGCTGACCACGTGTACCTGAGGCACTGACCTGAAGAAGGACCTGAAGCTAATCCCTGTTTTATGGCTCAGAGTTACTGAATTTAGGGCAGATTTTAAAAATGAGGCATAGAACCTTGACAGCAGACTCCATTTTCTCAAATTGAACATGTAATAGTTTTCATTTGTACATGACTGACTTGAGGTATGTATGTCTAACCTGCCTGTGCCTATTTCATCTTGGGCAAATGATTCAGTGGATGGTGGCCCAATGACCCCTTTTGGCCTATCTTCAAGCTTGCTATGATAATTAGGATGGGTTTATATAAAAGAGCTCTGAAAACAGTAAACAATGTATTATTATCATAGTAGCCCCAGTGATCACAAGTATTAATTTAACAAAAGTAAACATCCTTTATGTTTGTCCAGAGCATTGCAGTTTCCCAGGTGCTTTAGTCCACAGCATCTCATTGTATCCTAACCCACAACACAGTGAAGACATATTCTGCTCCTTGTTTACAAACTAAGACCCTAGGTTCAGACAGACTACATGGCTTCTTTAGGACTGCATGGAGGAATGAACTAGGCTCTGACTCCAAATCACGTGCAATAAATTTTCCCTTCATACCAGTGCTGTCCAATAGACGTATAATGTTAGCCACAAACATAAGTTACGTAAGAAATTTTAGATTTTCCAGTAATCACATTTTAAAAGCTTTTTTAAAATAAAGTAATAAAGTCAATTTTCATATGATCTATTTAATGCAATCTATCAAATATTATCTCCCATGCAGTCAATATAAAAAGTGGAGATGGTTTACATTGTCTTTTTGTGCAGACAGTGCAGGTCTATACCTTTCTCTAAAGATTTAGTGTGAGGGAGAATTAGCTATAGACTAGTTTCTATTTAAATACAAATAATTGTGACAAACAGACACCCAATCAATTAAATTTTTCTTTCTTCTTCTTCTTTTTTTTTTTTGAGATGGAGTTTTGCTCTTGTTGCCCAGGCTAGAGTGCAGTGGTGTGGTCTTGGCTCACTGCAACCTCCTGGGTTCAAGCAATTCTCCTGTCTCAGCCTCCTGAGTAGCTGGGATTACAGGCATGCACAACCATGCCCGGCTAATTTTTGCATTTTTAGTAGAGATGGGGTTTCTTCATGTTGGTCAGGCTGGTCTTGAACTACTGACCTCAGGTGATCTGAAAAGCTGATAAGCCTCAGCTTTCCAAAGTGCTGGGATTACAGGTGTTAGCCACCACAACAGGCCTGATTTTATAAAAATATTTTATAAAATATTCTATAAAATAGAATTGTAATTGACTTATTAAACTTCTCTAACGCATTTAAATCATGATTTAAGCATGATTTAGTTTGCAAAAAATTGTTAGTAAACGTTGCTTTTCTAAATCACCTCATTATATACAAAGTAAGGTACAACAATATGATGTATTTATATTAACTTTAGAACCTTGAACTTTGGAGGAACAGAATGAGTCAAAAATTCCCCAGCCCCCAGAAGAAGATCGCCCATGAGAAGTACAGTCAGCCCTTCATGCCCATGGGCTCTGCATCTGTGAATTCCAGCAATGGTAGAACTGGCTGGATAGAGAGTCCAAGGATACAGAAAGCTAACTTTTAGGGGCTTGAGAATGAAGGGATCTGGAAGAAACCCTCGCTGAGGATACCAAGGGACGACTATACAGAAATTCAAGGAAATGTAAAAATATTATGCAGGATCATTGTTTCTTGACAGCCTGACTCATCACTGGTTTGTAAATCTGGGCAAGTCATGACCCTTTCATTCTAGTTTCCTTATCTAAGGCAGAAACTGGTAGTTCTAGGTTTGCTATCCTTTTTTCTTAATAAGGTAAGATAGAAAACAGGAGCAGCCATGTGTTCTCCCAGCCTCTGTTGCTGACAGTGACAGGCACAGAATGTGTTCCGACCAATCAGAGGAGAGTTGTAAGCTGTGGCTCCTGGGAGGGGACTGGCCTTTCTTCCTGACAGCAGCCAGGCCATGAATGACCATGAGGCCAGCCTCTGTAGAAGCCAGTGTGAAGGATCACAGGGAAGAAGGACAGAGGCAGCCCTGGGCACTGACTACATGACCAGGCTGCCAGGTCACTGTGAGAGACGGAAGTCTCTGCCTGGTGAAAGCTACTGGGACGTTTCGGCTGCTGCCTGGCCATCGTCACTGGTGCAGTCATGATGAAAAATACATCACAAAAAGAAAACATTCCATTGAGCACCTGTGAGATAAGTGTGAAAACCTGAGAAATCACAAAGATGATTTTCAAACCTAAAAGTCCCAGCTGAGAAGATGAAGAGTCCAGAAACAGGTCACAGTTGGCTGCCTGGCCTGTGAATGTATCTGCAGTGGTCTGTGGTGGTTGTTTTTGTGTGTTTGGTTTGTTTTGGCTTCAGAGCCAGCAACCGCATCTCTTCTATTCTGCTTTTCTGACAAGCTTAAGTTGCTGAGTAATTTAGAATTAAGCATATTCTATTTTTTAAAAAGTAATTCAAACAAAAATAGTTAAGTTACACAGGATGAAAAAGGTCAACTCTAAAAGAAATCCACTGTTTTCATTAATTGTTTAATATTTATGGTTAGTGTTAAGCAAAAATGTCTCTGAGAATAAAAATGTTAAGAACTTATATTTCTATTTACAGTTGCAACATATGAAGCATATGCTCCTTATTAATATGATAAACCATTGATTTTAAATATATATTAATGACTAATAATGGAAAACAATTTAAACTTACTAGAGAAGTCAGTCCTTCATTATCAACAACCCAGTCTTCCTTTTCAGCTAATCTCTTTATTTCTATATGAAAACAAGCACACAAATACATTTTATTATAATTATCTCACTAAATTTTATACAGATTAAAAATTTATACAGGTTATGATTTTTAATTATTTTATGTAGGTTTGTAAAAGCTTGGTCAAAGAAGGCAAGAATATAATTTTGATAGACTTGAGGATTTAAGTACATATTGTTCACTGGATTATTCTAATGAGATACTAATTAAATAAAAGATTCTACTGCAAAGTCCAATTTGGGGAATTCTAAATAAGCCATATAGTAATTTTATTCCTAAAATTTCTGATGAATAATTTGGATGACTTTTGAATCCCATACATTTCTGACAAGGGCAGTATGCTTCTCACTTGGGAAAGGGAATGCCACCTGCTCAAAACTTCAGGACTGGGCAGCCTCAGGTTCCTAGGTGAGGAGGAGGTGATAAATTAAGAGGGAATGGCCAACTTTCACCTGGGTTCCATTCCCTACCCATTTACACAGTGTATCACCCACCAATTTTGCAGGGATGTAAGCTTCCTACCCAAAAATCCTGGCAGTAGATAGTAATGGCCTGTGCCATTTTAGCCATGTTCTTGACTGTTTTTGAAAAAATTTAATAACCAAAAGGTGCTTTGTAAAGAAAAGCTTGTTTTTTATGATTTTATGTAGAAAATTCTGAAAAATTTAAAATGCATAAAGAAAACAAGAATCATCTATAACTTCTAGAATCCAGAGAAGCAATGCTAAGAGACAAATCAATGTCCTTTGACGGGACATTGATTTCTATAAATTAAAATTTAAAATGATATATCCACTATTTTCAAAACTGAGATGAGACTTTACATACATTTTATACCCTATGTCTTCTACTTAACAATTGTTCTTGCATCTTTAAACATTTTCAAGTATATCCATCTTAGTTTCGGCATGGTCTTAATTCTCAACTAAACTGATTTGAAAATACATCACCAAAAAGAAAAAACATTCCATTGAGTAGCTAGAAGTAAGATGACCTAATATATTCCAATTTCCAGAAGAGTAATTTCCTCTTTTTTCAAGGATTTGGAAGCTGAAAGGAGGTGGCATATTCAGATAATCATTGCACAGTAAACGTCACCAACTTTTCTAAACACACCTTCCGCCGTGTGCTGCAATGTGACCATTACGCAACGTACTCGGAGATCCAAAATGAGATCCTGGATAGTCTGTAACAGGTCATTAGGAATTTCAAGGGCAGTCAATGATTCATGAGTAAGCCTGTGAACAAACACAACCAAACGAAGGTGAGCAGAGTCGGATGGCAAAGCAATTCCTAGAACCACTTTCACTGTATAATCATTCCTCATGGAACTTACACGCTACAGCATGAGGCTGAAAACAGAAACAGATCACAACAGGGATTGTCTGATAACAGTAATACTGAATTAAACAGAGAAGATGCATTCATGAGTAAGCCTGTGAACAAACACAACCAAATGAAGGTGAGCAGAATGGGATGGCAAAGCAATTCCTAGAATCACTTTCACTGTATAATCATTCCTCATGGAGCTTACACACTACAGCATGAGGCTGAAAACAGAAACAGATCACAACAGGGATTGTCTGATAACAGTAATACTGAGTTAAACAGAGAAGATGTATAACAGTAGAACATTCTCATCTGACATAAAACACCAGGAACACTGAGAAGCTTAGCTGTCAGACAACAAACAGGCAACAGTGGGGACAAAAGGACAAAGAGAAGAAAAAGAATTCCTTCTTCACCGAATGTATTAAAAATATTCCATACTGGGTATTTTTTTTTTCCAAAACTAAAAAACCAATGTACCCCTTTTACTGAGAATGTGTCCATATTCACCTGACGGTCTGGACGGCGTGAGCGAGCCACTGTCCGGAGAGCTCGCACTTCACCTCCCAGCCTCCGTACTGCTTGGCTTCCCCATCCCGGATGGTGAGGGGGAGCAGTGCTCCGCGGGTCAGCTTCACCAGCGAGTGCATTACTTCCTGAATCATTTTCTAGAAAACAAGGAACAAACACAATGGCACTAACATGTCATTATCAGATGACAGTAACTAAAAGATGGTGCCTGGGCAATAACGGATGTCTTGAACACAAAATGAGAAATGAAAAACCCTCCCCTGTGAAAAAGTCTACATGCTTACTATCCCTTACTCACCTTAAAATCATTTTGTCTTTGCCTTACATTCTTTGATCTTTCAATCTGGCCTGACTTCTCAGCAGTCTTAAAAATTAAAAAATAAAATAAAACATATTAGAAATAATTTATAAAAAATAAGAAATGTTTTAGCACTTGTACATGAAGAGAACATTAAATATGGTTATAACTTGATTAAAAGGAATGCTTATGGCATAATCTATGTTTCTGATTAAAGAATGATTAATTAGAAAACCTTCTTATTCCAATGAGAAGTCCCATAAATGAATCTAAGAATTAAGTTGAAACTACCAATTTTATAGGTGAATTTCATATACCATTTTCATCAACAATTTCAGTATCATACCCAGGATAACACTGTCCACTTCATTTCTCATTAGCTAGTAAAGAAACCAAAGGAAGCCTAATCTGAAATCTGTCATTTTATTTTTAAAATATTATAAACTATAGCTCTTCCTTCAGAGATTCTCAGTGTGATTTAGGAGAAAATACATCCTTCATTCTAGAATTAATTTTTGTTTACTGAGATAACTCACGTTTTTGTCCAATATTTCTCTTTCTCCTTAATGTATGGAAAATTATATTGACTAAAAGAGAAACCTATTCAATTGGTTAATGCATGACAAGTCAAGACCTTTCAAGTTAAGAACAGGTGCACTGTAAATGATCATGATACTGACTTTATGTTAATTTTAAAATACAAGCAATGTTCTGTGCATGTATATATATATATATATATACACATATATATATTTATTTCTGCATAAGCTACAAAAACTGCATGTGGAATTAGTTTATATAATGAACATATCATTGTAAGTAAAATATGGGTTAGGACTGTTGGGTGTTTTCAACAAAACTATCAGACACATCTGACAAAAATATGGGCAGCACATGCATAGACAAATATCCTTCAAACTCTAGTTTACATTCAGTTTAAAATTTTATATTAAACTATGCAACTTTTATCATTTCTTTCTTTCTTTTTCTTTTTTTTTTTTTTGAGATGGAGTTTTGATCTTGTTGCCCACGCTGGAGTGCAATTGCGCAACCTCAGCTCACTACAACCTCCGCCTCCCAGGTTCAAGTGATCCTCCTGTCTCAGCTTCCTGAGTAGCTGGGATTATAGATGCCTGCCACCACACCCAGCTAGTTTTTGGTATTTTCAGTAGAGATGGGGTTTCACCATGTTGGCCAGGCTGGTCTCAAACTCCTGACCTCAGGTGATCCTCCCGCGTCAGCCTCCCAAAGTGCTGTAATTACAGGTGTGAGCCACTGCGCCCAGCCTATCATTTTTTTCTTCATAGAAATACATTTTTATCTGAAAGAATTAAAGGTATGTATAAAAACTAAACCTGCAATTCATCTCAATAATCATTCAAAAAGCTAACTCCTGAGTTCATTGGTCAATGACACTCAGAATTCTTTGTACAGCGGGGTTTAACACATACATTGCTTTTTCCTTTATGTTTAAGACAAGTGAGCAGGAACTTAAGTGTTTTAAGCCTACAGTAAGAAGGAATGAGAGGGGCCAGCATGCGAGCCTGGCCAGCCAGGATGCTGCGGTGGTCCAGATGAGCACAGGCATGCTGAGACAGCAGCAGGTGAGCCCAGGTGACTGAGAGAGGCCACCTGAGGGAGAACTGGCTGCCGTGGGTGCTGCAGTGAGGAAGGACACATGCCCAGAGGGACTCCCACCTAAGTCGCACCTGCTCGGGTAACATCAGTGGCTCTGAATGTTTGCTCAGCTGCTTTCTGAAAGCCCGGTGTGATTATCAGAATTAGAACACTGTTGGTGATATGGGGTACAGGCATACAGCAAATGAATGCCATGGTCACTGAGGTGACAAAGCTCTTCTCTACGTGTTGCAGTTTGTTAGGTCTTAGGCTTGGGCACTTTTTTTCTTTTGTGTCTATACTGTCTAGTGTGTTCCTGTGGTTTCAAATATCATTTCTACCTAATGTCTTCCAAATCTCTACCTCCAGCCCAAATATCTCCTCTGTGACCCAGATGTGAATCTTGAATAACTCCCAGGAATCTCAATCTACCACATTATCAATGGAAATCTGAAACTTCCTCCAAGTACACTGTTCCTCAGGTCTTTCTGGCTTGGCAAATGCAGTCTTGCTCACTCAGGAGACCACTAGGAGCAACCCTGGAATCCTTCTCTTCTCTCCCTCACCTTAACACCACTTCCAAACACAACCAAACCTACCAACTGCTCTCCAACTCCACTGATGAAGCCTTCATCCAAACGACCAGTTTCCTGCTTCTCCCCCACATTTGTCCCAATCAATTCATTGCAAACACGCAACCAAGGTGCGTTTTTTAAAACTGGAAAGCTGGTCTGTTCCCCGCCCTATGGCCTGGGATGAAGCCGCTGCCAGCTGGGCCTGTCCTTCCCAACCCTCCCACTGCTCAGAAACACTTCTGCCCATCAGGGCTTCCTTCCTTTTCAGATATGCCAAGCTGCCCTCCTGATGCTGTGGGCATCCTCCTTGCTGCCTGGGGCCTGCTTCCCCCTATCCTGTGTGGTTGTGTCCTTATCCTGTGCCACATGTCAGTTTCGGTATCACCTCCAGGGAGAGGCCTTCCCTGACTTCCATCCCACTGCTGATATTCTATCTTACAACCCTATTTGTTTCTTTTATAGCTCTTACCAGAATTTTTTAAATAATAATTTAAAAAATTGTTTTGGTTCTGTCTCTAGAAGAGGAAAGGTCATGCTTATTTTGGTCACTGTTTTATTTATATTGTAGATATGTATGTAAATTTGTACGTATGTCTACATATTGAGTATGCACGCATGCATTTATATGCATGTTATATATTATGTTCCATATATGTATACATATGTGTACATAGTGTAGTGTGTCTGTTGTGTGTGCATGCATATGTGTGTGCATATATTATGTGTGCATGCATGCATGTGTGTCTCAGTACCTGGTACCTGGTGAATAAATGATCACCTAGGGTGAGGGTTCTCCCAGACCTTCTTGAATATAGTTAAGAAAGGGTAACTGCCCTGAATACTCTGGGTCCTGACATGAGAGTGGACCTGGGTGGCAGATCTGCCAGGCCTAACCCTATGAAATGCTTCTTTCAAACCTAACAGGCTCAATTCTTCTCCTGGAGATGTAAGGTGTCAGCAAACGGGGTAAGCAGAGGTTGGAGAGCTTTGTGTAAAGGTTGGGGGTTGAGAGGACTGCTCTGCTTAATGAATTCAGAGGCTGCTGCAGCACCCAGCACCTACTAGAATGTCAGGAGCTACGTCTTTGTTAAGGACCTCGTCATGGTTAGCTTTGTGTCATCTTGGCTGAGCCACAGGGTGCTGGACATTTGGTGAAACATTACTCTGGGTTAGATTAACATGTGCACTGTGCACAGCAGAGCCTCTTCTGGATGTGGTTGAGCCTCACTCAATCAGTTGAATGTCTGACCAGCACAAAAGAGCTCATCTCCCATGAGTTAGAGGCCTCCTCCTATCTGACTGACTTCAGGCTGGGACACTGGGCTTTATCTGCCTTCATAGTTGAATTGAAACATCTGCTCTCCTTAGATCTCAAGCCAGCTGGCATTTGAACTGGAACTTAACAGCATCAGCCATCCAGCTGGGCAACACATCCTGCAGACACTTGGGGCTTGTCAGTTTCCATAATGACACGTGGCAACTCCTTAGAATAAATCTCTTCATGTTTGTGTGTGTGACTGCAGGTATACGCATACACACCCCCTATTGGTTCTGTGGCCCCGGAGCACCCTGACTCATGCAGACTTGCTCCATCATGCTCCGGAGGGAGGCACATGCCAGTATAAAAATGCAAGTGTCTGAGTGTCAAAGGGCGTCTCCTCTGCTTGTACCCTCCACAGTACCTGATGCCAAACTTTGCACATAGTAGGACTGTGCAATGGGAAGATTATTTCATAGTCATTTGTTCTATTACATATTTTTAATTCAAAGAAAAGAGTGAGAGTCGGTTGTTAAACAGTATACAAAAATTAAGGCTAAATTCTGCCAGAACAATTTTGCCCAAACAGGTATTCATGAGTGGATGATGAAACCTACTGGAGGGTAATTTCGTAAAATCCAGGACTTTTCTCCAAATATATAAAAAGTAGAGGGGGAGGGGGTTAGTTGTGCGGCAGACCCCTTTCAGTTGTTACTTATTGTTTTAATTTAATAAAGAGTTAATTATCTCCAACACAATGGATTATGTAAAGTTTACTGTTTTTAAAAGAAAATCTAATTTTGCAATGTGTGATGCATTTTAATTATATACTATGGAGTTATGTAACTTTTTAAAATGCTGACTTAATATTTAACAATTATTTGAATGTTTTAAAGATTTTTATCTAAAAATACACTATATTTAATCTAAAGGTGAGATCTTAACCTACTATTAACCATTTCGTTAACTAGAAACCTTAACTCTTTCCTGCACACACAGACCAAAACTACTTTGTGGTGAGAGTAACGGCTGGATTTCACTGTTTTGATTCACATTTGTTACTTCACATGGCCTTCATTGGTTTGAAGAACTGACTATTTTTTAAACTGTTGGAAACTTCATCTAAATTTTTAACGGATGGGCTCTTAATAAGAGATAGTTTTATAACAAGAAAAATAAGAAAATTCAAGTAAATTGTGTTTAAAAGGTATCCAGCTTTCTTGCATGAGACTAAATAGCTATCAAAAGCCCCAGAACTCTTCCCAGTATTAACTGAATCCAGCGTCCGGATTTCACTTGCAGACAGACAAAGGGAGCATGCACCCCTAGCTTCTTTGCTCCTTCCTACAGCCCTGCACTTTCCTCTAGCTCTTCAGAAGGGGGCACATGGTTTCAAAACATGCCCAAATCTGCAGAGAAAATTACATCTAATTAATAATTATTGCTATAAGCTTTTAAGTTTATAAACACAAAGAGGTAGAAATATCACAGGCATATCCAATGCAGCACAACCAATTAAGAGTTATTTCTTCATTTCAACATTAATGTTCATGAGTTCTGAAGTAGATCATTTATTTTTCATCTACAACCAAATATTTCATTGATATGTTTGGTATATAATTATGAATAATCTGTAAAAAAGCAAAACATACTCCCTGTTCACTAAAATATCGTAGAACAAAAATTCTTTGGAATTTTGTCTCGAAAAGACTCCATGGAAGGCAACTATTGTCCATGTGTGGTGGGCCACTTGTGGGAACTGATGCAAATGAGGGACATTTCATTCCACTCAAACACTGTAGTCCTGAAAGACTAATTCTTTAGATGAGTTGATTCATCTTGACATTATTTGATTCTATTCCAGCAGTTCATCAGTCTACTGTTTTCCACTGTTACAAAATTTTGTTCACTGAACACCTATTGAGTGCCAGGCCAATGAGATTTCAAATAGTGGAAATACTGGAATAAATTTCATTCCAAATAATAAGAGGAAAGTCTTACTTATCTGTCAGACATTATTATAAGCACTTAACATATACTAACTCATTGAATTCTCAAACCAGTCCTATAAAAGTAGGTGCAGAGAAGTAATCTGCCTAAGGCCACAGCTAGTAAGTGATAGGCACTGGATGTTTCCATTATGCTCCTAGTGTTCTGTGCGAAAACCTATGAATGCTGCCTGTGCAAGGGCATGACAGGGAAGCATCTCATCTTTCCTGCCCACATGAACAACTTGGTTTAGGAACAGAGCAGACACAGAGAGGAAGCTGGTGCCCACAGTGCCACTACTGTCATTGTGTAGAGGGCAAGGGACCCAATGCTTGTCCTCAGCATGGTCAGAGTCCCATGTGGGGCTCTCACCATGCTGAGATTCACAGAGACACAAACTGATGGTGACACAAACAAAAGCAGAGTATTGGAAAAACTTATCAGGACAAAACTGAAATGAAAGTATTCTCTTCCTAAGCCAACAATGAGCAACTCTCATGTACGCAAACCTGTGAAACCTGACATTCATTTTATGTAAGAACTTCTCTGTATAGCTAACTTTTCAGTAGAGTTCATGCATAACTAACAAAGAAAAGAAAGTTACGTATTGCTTTAATATTTGAATGTTAACTTTATAGAATCCACAAAGTAACTGAATACTGAAATTAAAGGAAAAAATGCATTGATAAATCTTGCTTACAAGATTGGTTTTTCTGCACTAAGGAGTTTCTGTTCATGCATTGCACATTTCTGTTTTTGGTAAATTTCATGACTGGAAAACCAACCATTCATATAAACAAGGCTGCAGGAATCCAGTGGGTTTATAACAGAGATAGTAGGCACTTGGAGTTCAAATATACAGAGAAAAAAGTTCCAGAGCACATCTCTATTTCCCTAATATCAGCATGTATTTATGTCCATGGTCAAATGAGACTCCAAAGACACCCAAGGCGCTCTGACACTTAACCACTTTCTGCCAAGGAGGAGAGGTCTTAAACCACAAAGGCTGTGCCTTTGTGCAAAAAACCAAAAAATGGTTTAGCCTTTGTCCAGTTCCACTTTGTGTGTTGCCAAGTCAAAAAGAAGCAGAAAGGAGCCTTTACCCTCAGAAGATACCTATCTCCCCTAGAGCTCTTGGTGTAGAGAGCTCTCCTAAAGAGACACGAAACAGAGCTGTCTTCTGAGTCTTCCAGGTAGGGTGCCCTGGGCAACCCGGGACAAATGGCATTGGAATCTATATCCAGGAGCTGGAGGTCTTTCATGACACACTTGAGGTGAGGTTAGAAAGTAACAAATGAGGCTGGCTTCCATGTGCCATACACAACAGTAAGGGTCATTCCTTTATGTTCATGTGTTCTATGCTACAATCATATTATGATGAAGATACTAAGCATTAATAAATGTGTGATTACAGATGATGGACGACGGGCTTATAAAAACTCCCGCAGGCTGATAATAATGGGGCTAGATTGCAGAATCTTTAAACTATTTCCAAAGGAAACTGCATATTCTATGGATTACTTTCTTCTGGGTGAAGGCTGCAGAGGTGTTATCCTTATTTCATCATTGATTCACAGTCCACCACCCATCACCCAGAATTTGGCCTGACTGGCATTATCTCAATTTGGAGTCCCTGAAAATAGTTCAAGCTTTCTTTTTTCTTTAATTCCCTATCTCATTTAATCCCTACAACTACTTGTTAAGATAGACGCTCAGACTATTCTCCTTTTGCACATGAGGAAAAGTGACTAGTTCGAGGTCATATAGCTACTAAGTGGGAGGGCTTTATAACACTGTAATCTTAAACTATAACGACGGTTATAGATGTTGGGCCTCTACGTTTTTAAAAAAAATCGCTTAAATCTAACATTTTTAAGACCAGAAATGCACGGTGACTCAGCTCCACCTCTAGTTGAGTCCATATACACACCTCACTGAAGAGGCTTCCATTAACGTAGGAGATCCAGAGCTTCCAGAAGTTAGGCAGCTGGCTTAAGACAAGCTTGGTCAATTTTTCAACAAAGGCCACCCTGTGGGGAGTTTTATATCTCCACGCTAAGAGGGAAAAGAAGAAAACACCATGATTATACTTTTGAATCAAGAAGATATTTTTGGGCATATTGCTATCCTCTCCGTGCACCTCCCAAAACTCAAACATGCATTAGCAATAGCCTGAGTCTGTGTGGAAGCTCGTGGCTCACTTAGCTGACATCAGCAATGGTACGCTCAGCCAGGCAACCCCACTTTTCTCCTTGCCAGAGGGCAAGGAAGAGCCCCCCCCCAACCATCGTAGCTGACCAGCAGGCCAGGGCGAGGGACCAGGTGGCCACACCTCAGCACTGGGAGTGCTACCTAGAGGAAGTGGCTTTGACTTGTCAGCCTTGTCCTCTGAATAGTATATGTCTTTTCCAAAAGTAATGCCTTCAAACAGCAAAGGTAGGCAAAGGCAAGGGCTGCCCTACAGCCAGTCGTGAAATTCCAGCTACTATCAGCCTGTGAGAAATGTTGTCACACACCCTAGGAGGTGAGAAGGCCGGAAGGAAACCAGTTGTCATAAGGAAACATTCAAGCGCAATCACATACTAAATAACCCCGCCTATAATACAGAAATTTAAGGAAAACACAGAAATGCTGACACCTCTTTGGCTATACATTATTTAACACAGTTAACTGCAGTAACTAGGAAATAACGGCTTAGACTTCTTGTGAGAAGAATAGGTTCATGGGAATAAAGCAAGTGTAGAGATTCGGGACCCACTCACCATCTCATCTGTCCTGCCTTTTTTTTTTTTTTT